GAGGCCAGTGGTGGGTTTGGCAGTGCTGGGTTAAGAGTTGGACTCAATGGTCTTAAAGGTCTTTTCCAACGTAAAGAATTTTATGATTCCACCACAGGGCTTCATGGTGCCCCTTGCTTCCAGTGGCCCAAGACATGACATTGGTGTCCAGCAGCTCCCTGTGCCTCATGGTTCTTTTGGAAGACAATCAAGAGTTTCTTCCTTTCCCTTGGGGCAGCAAAAGGACTCTAATATGTCTCCTCTCTGGGCAGGGATCCACAGCAGAGCCTGCTGCACAAAGACCAGCCAACGTGAACTCTCTGGGCTGAACACAGAGTTAAGAGCTTTGGTTTCCCTTCCTAACAACCCCAGTGTGCACCACCCGAAAGGCTGCAGCTTGGTGCTGCCCTCTGTGCCATGCTGGGGGTGCCAGGAGCCCCCAGCTGTGACCTACCTTCCCACTGAAGCTCTTGCCCGTGTCCGAAATGGCCTCTGGTGCCATGAAGGCTGGTGTCCCTGCCGTGCTGGAGAGCTGGGCATCACTCCCTTCAAACTGGTTGCTGACCCCAAAATCTGCAATTTTCACATGCCCATCATCTCCTAAAAGCAAGTTGGAAGGCTTGATGTCCCTGTGGATGATCTTCTGGTAGTGCACTAGAAAGGAAACAAAACCAGGGGCATGGGAAAGCTCTGCAGGAGGATGGAAATTAGGGTGCAAGCCCAGGCACCCCCCATGAAGCTGCTGCTGGGATTGCAACATGAAGGAGCACCAGCACCACTTCCCTCCAGCCATCCCCATCCCTTTTTGGTGCCTCAGTGGGATGTACCCCGGGGTACAACGCCCAGAAATGGATCTGTCACCAGGAGCTATGCAAAGAAGCATCACAAACCCAGGAAGAGCCCAACCAGCAGGATCCAGCAGGGCTGTTAGACAGGGAAACCACTTCAAATCCTGCAGGATTTCTGCCTCGTTGCACCAGCTGCTGGGTCAGGCAACTTGCTGCATTAAAGGCTTACAGGATCCAAATAAAGTGGTACAGTTTTGATTTATTACAAAACTTCAGTGCCATGGAGCTAATCAAAAGGGGCAGAATCCCAGGCAGACTGAAACGGGCCCAGAGGAGATATTTAGGCAAGCAGCAGCTGAGCACCAAGTCCTGCCAACACTCAGAATTCCATGGGTACTGCTGAGTCAAAAGATGCCTCTGACCATGGAGCAATCACCCTCCCAAAGGCATGAGCCAATGAAGCCATCTTCACAGTGGAGCCCACAAACAGAACCAACCTCAGCTTGTTCTGCATCACCCCCACGGGCCCAGAGGAGATATTTAGGCAAGCAGCAGCTGAGCACCAAGTCCTGCCAACACTCAGAATTCCATGGGTACTGCTGAGTCAAAAGATGCCTCTGACCATGGAGCAATCACCCTCCCAAAGGCATGAGCCAATGAAGCCATCTTCACAGTGGAGCCCACAAACAGAACCAACCTCAGCTTGTTCTGCATCACCCCCAATCCCCACCCCTGCACAGAGCTGCCAGGCACTCCCACAACTGCCACCCAGCCCTTCAGAGCCAAGGCTGCTCCTACACGTGCTCCTTCACTCCAGGAGGCTGAGGGAAGAACACCAGCTCTGCCCCAGTGCCACAAGGCCAAGGGGGGGTACCAGCTGAAGGGCTTGGACACCAGACATGAAGGAAGCCCTTGAAAAGAGATTGGGGGGCTGAGATGCACTGAAACCAACAAGAGCGAAGAACACCAGCTCTGCCCCAGTGCCAAAAGGCCAACAGGGGGTACCAGCTGAAGGGCTTGGACAGCAGACATGAAGGAAGCTCTTGCAAAGAGCTTGGGGGGCTGAGAAAACAACAACAGGAGCCACTGAGTGAAGCAGGGAGCTGTAGGAAAGTGGTTGACTCCTCAGGAACTTGGAGAACAAGTTTAAAAAGTAAATAAAAACAACTTTCAGAACATGAAATGACCTCAAAAGCAGAACTGGAGAAAACCCAAGAAACCTGAAGAGGAGAGGAAATCCTCAAAGTCTTCACTGCCCTTCCCAGGGGAATATGACCCCTCTGCTTTCCTCCTGCCCTGGCCCCAAGCACCATCTTCACATTTCCTTCCTGCAAACTGAGCATATTTTTATACCTCCCCATGAGCACTTTTCATATCTTCTAGGAAATAGGCAACTGAGCTGGGGAAAATGCTGGACAAACCCTCTCCTGCTTTATAAACCTGGACAAACCCTCTCCTGCTTTATAAACCTGGTGAAACCCTCTCCTGCTTTATAAACCTGGTCAAAACATTTCCATAAAGGCAGCCTGCCTGATGGAACATCCCAGCTTGTCTTTTAGGACCAGGAAAGAAGCTTCATGTAACCCTCCTGCTCCTTTCAAGGCAGCTTTCCAGAAGGCTGTGGTGGGGTGGGCAAGTCATGCCTGAAGACACTTTTCTGCAAGGACCTGTCCTTAGTCTGAACTGCTGGGAGATGTTGTTCTTGGCTCATCAAAGAGCTGATCTGGAGACCCAGCAGACAAAATCCTGCTGGGGGGCACCAGGGATTACATCCTCCTTCCAGATGTGCAGCAACAGTGAGGGGGGGAGGGAAGTTTCCCTTCAGGAGATGAGGAGCTGCCTGTCAGGCAGCTGCCTGGTATCCCCCCTGACACCACAGGGCTAAGATTCCTAATTCTCTGAACAAAACACAGGCCACAGATCTACATGGGCCACACAAGTGCATCCCTGGAGCTAAGTCTGCAAATCGAGGGGGTTACCCCTAGGCAGGCAGATTCTCCAGGCTTTTATTATTTCTTCTGCACAGGAAAGTAAAAAAAAAAACCCAAAACAACCAAAACCAAACCCACGAACCAATTCCCATATCAAATAAGTATTTATCTTGTAAACCACTTTCCCTGTCTTTGTGCAATTTAATAAAAGCAGAGGGGAAATGTGGGCTGGTGCCAGCACCCTGTGTCTGCTCAGGGACCCACTCAGGCTGGTGCCCAGCAGCTCTGGGCACTGCTGCCCATCAGCCCTGGGAGCAGCACAGATACTGAACAAAGATCTGAGGGCTGGAGCAGCTCTGCTGTGAGGACAGACTGAGAGAGTTGGGGCTGTTCAGTCTGGAGAGGAGAAGGCTCCCAGGGGACCTTATTGTGGCCTTCCAGGATCTTAGGGGGGCTACAAGAAAGCTGGGGAGGGACTTTTTAGGATATGGAGTAACAACAGGACTGGGGGGAATGGGGCAAAGCTGGCAGTGGGCAGATTCAGGCTGGATGTGAGGAAGAAGTTCTTCCCCAGGAGAGTGGGGAGACCCTGGGATGGGTTGCCCAGGGAGGGGGTTGAGGCCCCATCCCTGGGGGTCTTTAAGGCCAGGCTGGAGGAGGCTCTGGGCAGCCTGATCTAGTGGGAGGGGTCCCTGCTCATGGCAGAGGGGTTGGAACTGGGGGATCCTTGTGCTCCCTTCCAGCCCTGACAGATTCTGATCTGTTTTGGCAGAGGCCTTTAGAGCCCTAATGGCTCAATGGTTGGACTTGATGATCCTGGAGGGCCCTTCCCACCTAAAGGATTCTATGATTCTAACTCCAGCTGCTGAATGGTAGGGTCAGGGAATGTTGGCACCTCCCAGGTCACCTCCACGTGCCCAGCTGGGGACAGTGACAACCTGACCTTGACTGGAGGAGGAAACAACTGGAGCAGGAGTGCCCGTGGGGCAGAGGAGCATGGGCTGTGCTGCCAGGAGTGACCTGCCACGTCACAGAGCTCTGCAGTGCCAGCCAGGGCCTCCTGCAGAGCTGGCACACGGCTGGAGTCACAGCAGGCAGGCAGGGGAAGGAGATGGGCACGGGGAGGGAGCGTGGCTGCTGGGCATGGTGCCTGGCCCCACGCTGTGCTGCCTTGCCAGGGCAGCCCTGTGCCAGCTGGCTCAGAAGCCTTTGGCTACCTGCAAAGCCCCTTCCCTGCCCCAGCTGCCTCGTGAAGGCAACGGCCCCAGGGGGAGAGGGATGGGGACAGGAATGGTGCCCTGAGCAGGGTGTAAAAGAGCAAAGCTCCATCACAGCTGTAAAAATGGTTCACAGCAAGAGCTCACATTTGCCAAGAAGTGGTGTGGAGCTGCTAACCTGCTGAAGGTAACCTGAAAGCCCTTTTCTGCTCTGAAGAAGCACAGTTCTTGAAGTGCCAGTCTGCCAGCTGCTGTGGGCATCCTCCCCTGTGCCGCCACCCAAAACAGGCTTCAGGCTCCAAATCAGAGTGTCACCCTCTCCTGTGCTGTGCAGCCACTGGTACAGCTCAGTGCCACACAGGGCTGCAGAAAGAAGAGTAAAGGATTCCCCCAAATCATTCCCAAGTCCACTCGTAGGCTACAGAAGAAAAGCTGGCTTGGTGGAGAGCTGCAGGAAGGAAGCAGGGTGGCTCCTCTGCAGGACACTGACACCACCAAGCTCAGACAAACTTCCCAAGCCACCAACTTCTGCTGCAAGTCCTGATGCCTGGCAGAGAACTCGTTGCAGGGAGGAGGGGGGAAGGTTTTGGCAGGGCTGGGGAAGGCTGTGGGACTGTGGGCTGCAGGAGCCTGGGGCTAAGGTGCTTGTTAAACCATTGTGATCTGCACCTCCAGCACAACAGGCAGAGGAAAAGATGGTGTTAGCCCTGCAGAACTCCAGAGGGAAAGCTGAGCAGTGCAGAAATAAAACCCTACCCCTAATGAGAGCCTCCAGACTGCTAATGACTGTCCAGAAGGGACACACAAGGAGCACACAGCCCCCAGAGCCACCCGAGGGGAGCAGGAGACAGCCACAGTCAGTCAAACACAATCACCAGCACAAATTAAACCTCTAATGGCACCAGCCTGAAGCATTGGGGAGCAAATTTCTTCCCTCTGCAGATGTAAGGGCAGCAGGTAGGGAAGGCACCTTGGGGAGGATTGCTACCCAGTGTCACCAGAGGCCCCAGGAACAAAACACTCGTCCTGCCCCTGAGGTTCAGGGCACATTGTGACACGGCTGCTCCTGAGCATGAGCAGGGCTCTCTCAACCACAGGAGAGAAGGAGAAGCACCTTCAACAGCTGAATAAAGACCTCAACTGTGCTTCAAAGAAACAAACCCAACAGAACCATCTGTATTGCTGCACCTAAACTTGCTCCGTGAGGATTTGGGGATCGTTTTTTGAAAGCAACCCCTGACCTCCTCTTAGTTCCCTTCATGGAGAACCTGGATTCATAAGCTGAGTCCATGTCTTTGAGGGAACTTCCAGCTATTCTGTGACCTGCTCAGAGGACACTGGCCACAGCCAGGCATTGAGTTTTTGGCTTGTGAGCTTACAGAAGCAGTCACCCAGCAGGCAAAGACCCACGGGGCCGTGGCTGCTGGATGCAGCCAGCCTTGGGAAGGAGCATCCCATCAGTGCTCCCCTCCCAGCCCCAGATGCCTCACACAAGGGACATCAGCAGCCCCAAACCTCTCACTCCCATCCAGATGGACCTGTCAGCATCCTCCCCCAAGGTTAAAATCGATGCTGCCACAGCAGAGCACTTTTCTGAAGCCAGCTTTTGCCTGGAAGGGATTTTGCTCTTGAAGCAGAGGTCAGCAGCTCACTGGAACAACCACCCTGGGCTCCAAGATGCTCTGCACTCTCTGTGCCAACAGACCCGACTCAAAGAA